TAATAGAAAAAAATACAAATAATATAGATAGATAGATAACAAGTCTATTATTAAACTTTTCTTGTCCAGTTTAATACCTGATGTTAAGCTTCCACTTAAGTTCTTCATAGGATCAAGTCCTTATCTTCTCTCTGGTCATAACTATTGCCACTCATCATTTGATACTTCTTAGTGTAGCTGGAGCTGTTCATGAGGGCAGAGGTCATTGAGGAGGTTTCTACATTAAACTGAAACTGGAAATACTCGTGAGACCAGAATGGACAGAATAAAGCTGTCATGACAACATTGACGATGAAATTCATAGTATTCATGATATTAATGAGCACCACCCAAGACACAACAGGATTAATCAGTGTAACTATGAAAACAGTTATCGGCAGGTACCAGAACCAGGCTGTGAATATTCCAAATAATGCCCGATAGAGGCGTAGCTTCCTCAGCTTATCCTCTTGACGATGGATGTGATATATTTGGTACCAAACGTAAAAGAGTAGCAGGCCTCGGGCAGTTAGGTAGATCCCTCCAGGCCATTCCTGTAATGGATGGAACGTATCCCAAGGCTGGAGATTCATGTATATCTATAAAAATATAAAGAATCAATAAATAAAATAACAAATAATATAATAAAATACATTTTCTCTCTCTGTCCACTTACCACAGTGGCGATGTAATAAATGATTGTGACAAATATATACAAAAAGATGAATATAAAAGAAGCCAGTCTCCATTTAACGATCTTCAGTGTTACCATCCACCCACCAGCGATTAAAACCAGGACTATAATCAAAAACCAATCCCCGACCAAATTAAAGAAGGTCTTCATGTAATTAAGAGGCGGGGCCCCATATCCATTGTGAGCGTAGACCCCGTAATGTATCAGGCCACAGAAAATGTTGATCCCCTCAAAGACGAGAGCGAGAGAAAAGAGATTAATAATTTGAGGTGTCCTACATTTGATAGTGTACTTGAGATGAGAGAGGAGGTGTACTGGGATTAGAATGACATAGAATATGCTGAACAGCAAGTACGTGAAGAGGAATCCTTTTTCATTACCAGGGAACTGCCTGGTAAATGGATTAGTGTCATTATTGTGATCATGATTAGCGTTAATGATGAAGATCTCATACGAGAAGCTAACAGAATCATTGAGTGTCATCCAGGTACTGTTGCTAAGTGTACCTTCTTCTCT